CGACATAGAAAAGACCATCACCGGGAGACAAAAACATTGGGCATGGAGGCACGGCGATGCTTTCTGGCTCACCACGGACAAAGGATGGCTCGTGGAGCCCTTCGCGGTGCAGTTCTCGGTTCTCATCCGGTGTCTCGTGGAGGCGGCGTGTAGCGAGGACACCGCGCGCACCATGGAGCGAGCCTGGACCCACCTGCACGAGCAGGAGCAGCACGGAGGTCGTGCGGCCGGATCGTGGAGCTATCGCCTGGCTGCCCGGATCTGGGTCTCCCGTTTCTGGCAGCCCACAGACAGTCCATGGAAGTACCATTTCGACCATCAAACTTTCGATGTTCGACTCCTTCGCCAAGAACACCTGGATCACCACGTGCGCCAGGCATGGCGGGCATGGATTTGGACACATTACCACCGACGGACGCTCCGCAAGGAGGCCGCCGGCCGCGTACCAGCGCCTTGCCACACGACCCTCTGCGAGTGGCTGAACGCGCACGCCGGGGCCGACCACGACCAGTTCGCTTTGGCACAGAGGTGCGTGGTGGCAGCCGAGCCCAATGCAGTGCGCCTTTCACATCTGCATCCGGATTGCTTCTCGCGCACCTGCCCCACCTGCCAGGTGGACAACAACACCCACCACATGATGCACGAATGTCCGACCACGGAGCCACTTCGTCGAGCGCACGGGCTCCATTTACCTCTACCACTCCCGGCCGACCTCTCTCAGGCCGAACGGAGCGCTTTCATGCTGCATGGTTGGCACGACCACCACCACCCTCAGCTTTGCACTTTGGCGTGCCGGGTGCTCAACTACAAACTGGCGGTCTTCCGGCCGTGGCACGCCGCGTGGCTTGCAGCCGCCGATTCCGGCCGCCAGAAGTAACAATAATTTGATTGCATCTTGTGCATCAGCGACAACGAGTGATTGCATGTTCTGCATCCTCTCAACAAGTATGCGCTTGTCGGCGCCTTCTTTCAACTATCGTGTTTTTCTTCTTTACTGCTTCGAGGACAACAGTCATCCTGTTGCAGTCAGAGCTGGCGGGGACAAATTTTGAGTGGATTTGGCTTCGTCCCCCCGTCCTGACCGATTTCTCGGGTCTCAATCAGTTGAGACTCCCCAGTCGCCAACAAGAGGGATAAATTTGGGACTCGGACTCGGTCTGAACTTTGCGGTGCTTGACTTTCCGCTCGCAGCCAGCAGGTGCTGGCCGTGCGAATGGCCGTTGCCTAATCGAGGGCGAAAGATCGTATACACCCATCCGACATCTTAAAAAAACGAAGCAACTTTCATGGGCCCCTGATTTCGTTTAAGAAAGGGCCCCGGGCGTTTTCTTTGAACTTTTTCATCTTAGAACTGTCGTGTCTCTGGACCTGGACTGCTGTTCAAGAGAACGCTTGGAATGAAGGGCATGTCCGAACCCAGCCCGGAGTCCCAAATTTCAGTTTCGGGGGTGCGCGGGATCCGTGTGCGTATGTGTGTGTGTGTGTGCGTGCGTGCGTGCGTGCGTGCGTGCGTGCGTGCGTGTGTGCGTGCGTGTGTGTGTGGGTGTGTGTGTGTGTGTGTTGGAGCCTCGGAGGCAGCCGATCACTATATGGCTCATGCGACCGTGCGTGCTCTGCGGCTCTAAGATCTTCAAATGCTGTGCGGGCGTAATCCGGGACGACTGCCAACCACACACCACCCAGTTCTCCAGGGAGATACGCATCTGTTATGCTGTGCAGCTCATCCCATCCGAACATTGGCTGCCAAGGCACAGGACGCCAGTCTGTGGGACCCGCTTCGGTGGTATCAGAACTATAAGATCGTGCTTCGCCTACAGGGGTTTTCGTTTGGCCTGTCCTCCCCTTCGCGCAAATTCCCCTTGTGGCGTTTCGCAGCGTGTTGTCGCCAAGGAGGTAGCGCACATCAGGCCATGTGTGGGCTGTGGCCTGGCAACGACGGCAGGATGCAAGGGCTGCCAGGCCATCAGGAGGACTCCTAGTGAAGAATGGGCTCCTGGGCAGCGTATGCCGTTGCGAGTTATCTGTAACACGAAGGAGGGCGAATGTCACTTCTGCCGCGGCCCACCATGTCCCCCGCCCAAATTTCGGCCGCTCAATATTTCCCAGAGGAGGGGGAGCCAGGCCGACTGGACGCTCGAGGGCGACATCGTGCTGCAAACGGAGGCGTGAGCTACTGAGGCTACGCCTTGCCCCCACCCATGCTCTGCAAATTCAGTGATTTGAGGGATGCCCGTACCGATAGTGTGCGGTGCTGCTAGCGGGAGTGACTCCTCGCTTCGCCCAGTTGTCTTTCCCCCTCTACTTTTCTCTCTGCGCGCCACTGCGTGTCCTTGCTGGAGCCGCCCTTTTTCGCGTAGCTGCGGCATTGCCGCTCGCTGCTCTTTGCTCTTTCCCCCACCCCGCGCGGTGACCGCCAGTGTTGTGAGCTTTCTCTTCGTGGCCTCGAGTTGCCTCCTGGCTTGTCCCACGTAACTGTTGGCGGGACTTGCCGTTCTTGCCTGTCGTCGCCTTCAGCGTAAGGACCTCTGGCTGCCCGGTTGGCCTGTACCCGGGGGCTGTATTCCTGGTACTCGGCCGAGTCTTGCCTTGCCCACACCACCAATTTTTTGGTCCTAGCTACTGGATCCTTGCGCTCCACTCGCGTGTTGTAGCGCCATTTTCCGTCGGTCTATTGGACCTGGCGGCGGCCTTGCCGTCTTGCTGCCTGCCCCCCGGTACGGGGTATGGGCCGGCTTGGCCGCGGCCCACTTCTCTGTTTGACGTGCTCCCGAGGCTTCGTCCTGGGGTTGCTCGCTTCAGCCTTTTCCTGCGCCATCCTGCTCTCTGTTGGCCAATTTCCGTACCCCCTGACCGCCTCAGGCGGAGGGCTTTCGGTTACCTGTTTTTCTGCCTCTCAGGGGTTTCTCGGGGGCGCGGCCTGGCGGTGCCTTGCACTTCTCGTGCTGGCCGGGGCACTGGAGCTCTTGCGCTCCCACGGGTGTGCGTAGCCATTTCCACGGGCACCGCTGTGGTCGGCGCCTTTTCCCGTCTGGGAGCTTGCCCAGCGGCGGCCTTACCGCCTTGCTGCTTGCGCTTTGGCATGGCGTGCTGGCTGGCATGGCCGCGGCCTGGTTAAGTTTTTTGCGTCTGCATTGCATCTGGAATACGCATCCGCACCTGGGGCTGCAATTCGCATCCTGCTGGTTTCAGCTGTATGTCAGCTTGATCGCCGGCATTTTTCGTTGGCGTAGCCCGTTGGTGGGTTCGCTGTGCACGTCTTTCTGATTATTTTGCCGCCTTTGGTCGGAGTGGTGCGACCTTACGCGTACAGTCTCTATTGTGCCTAGGTGGTTGTCTATCTGTCGACTCGGCCCCACCTACCCATGGTAGCCCTTGCGGCATTGGCCTCGGTTGGGTTGCTGTTTTAACGGCGGCGTCTGGACTGCACGTTGGCCACGCACGCGCCTGTCCACCACCCATGGATTTGCTTGCGCTGTCCACCCCCTGTGTGCACCACCGCGCGAAGCGGTTGTTGCTCGCGGTCGCCCACGTTCAGCTTTATTTTTTTGTCAAGGCTATGTCAGCCTCGGCCGCGTGTGTATCATCACGCCGACTTCTTGCATTTGCATGACGCTTCTGTCGTGCTTGTTGCAAGGCTGGAGGCGTCGCCTTGTCGCGCAACTGCGCGCTTTGCGTCGCCGCCAAACTGGCTGGTCTGGCAGCCTTACAATGCTTTCGTCGCCTCTCTGGCGAATTAGCACCAGACTGCTGTTTGCGCTTCCACTCCTTGCGTTGAGCTTCCGCTCCGCGGGTTCGTTGGCCGCTGCATCCTGGCTTTGCAGCGCCTCATGTCTCCCACCACCAATTTGCATGGCCGTGGCTGGATTAGTTCATCATGGCGCGTTCGACAAATTCATTCGCAATTGGCACGCCCACCCTCCAACTGCTGACCGCGCCGGAGGCTCCTCTGTGCTTCCGACTCAAAAGCGTGTGTTTCTCAATGTTCCAGGATGACCCCCACTTGGTATGGGCACCCCCAGAAAGCCCTCGGCGAGGCGCAGCTGCAGGAAGGAACAACCACCGAGAGCAAACACATCGTACGAAAGCTTCTAACAACTTCCACTCCTCCCTCCTTCTCCGTCCAGTGCCCGTCGCGTCTGCGCAACATGTGCGAGGGGTGGGGACGAAACGAGTGCCGCGTGCCGTGCCGAGGGAGGGCCTTGGCACCCTGGGAGGGACTGCTCTTGACAAGCACGATCGGCCTCATCCTCGCTTGTGAGGTCAGCTGCGTCTGCCGTCACCGCTGGAGGCCTCCCAAACCGGCCGGAGCAAATGGGGTCGGAGGACCGCACCGCACCGCCAATATGCATCGGCGATGCACCAGCGACGTCGGGAGGGAGAAGTTCGGGCTCCAGTCAGCGCCGCATCGTTGGTGAATCGGCGATGCTGCTGGCCCGCTCTGGGAGGCCTAGATACCCGGGAGCCCCCGCGGTCCCTGGGAAACGCGGCACAGGCGTGCGCGCGAGCGCGCGAAATTCAGGGCCCCTGTCAGGTCAGTCGACACTGGATCGCCGAGTTCCTCCCTCGCCTGACCCTGAGATCTGACGTTGCGAACAAATTGCAACACCGCGAACAATCACGACCAAAGCCCTAGACCCCATCGAGTCGGATCGATCTGTGATGGTCCCAGGACCCGAAGCTGAGCGAAACCACCTAGTATGAAAACGGATCTCATGGTTGAGGGAGGCTGGCTGCGGAGAGCCTTCAAGGAGGAAGGGAGGCGATGCTTTTCCTTTTTGGCGCGCCCCCGAGGTGACGGATTCTGATAAGAAAATCCACGCGTTGCGCCCCCACGCGAAGGCTGAGCCGCGCGAGCCAGTGCGAGGTGGTCGGGCGAAGACTTAGGCCCGAGCGCGCGTGCGCGTTCGCGCGTGCCTGCGATTCCCGCTCGCTCATCCCTGGATGACTGGCCTCCGCCTCACGTGTGCAGCAAGCGCTGAGGGGGTTGGCCGCCGGCGTCGTTAGCCAAGCTTCCCCAGAGCACCCTTCAACTGTGTGGACGTGAACTTCAACATGCCTGTAGCCATCGACATCACGGAAAACGCCCCGCCGATGATGGCAAAGACCTGTGTCACAAAGTCGTACCACCGCCGCTCTCCCGCGCTGACGACCACTTCGACAGGCGACAGATCGTATGAGAACTTCGACTGCGGTATGGCGTTGCGCTGAATCGTTCTCACGCTATGCTGATGGGTCTGCTGGTAGCTGCGGATGCCATGTTCCACGAATCTTGTGTGCACCACTTTGATGAAGTGGTTGGGCGCCTTATGGAACTTGTCCACAGCAAACGTCCTGCCGTCGAGGGGGTTGACGTGCCTCTTGTACTCGCTGGGAAGCGCATGTATCGATCTCCGCGGGGCCTCCCCAAACGAGAAGTGGTGCACGTGATGGGAGACGTTCGTGAACGCAAGGTTCAGTGTCCTGTCCGCAGCTGGACGGGAGGGGGAGGGGCGAGGAGCAGGGAGGGAGGGCGAGGAGGGAAGAGGAGGAAGGAAGGGACCGAGGAGGAGGAAGGATGGGGGGACAGTGGGCGGGAGCGAGGAGAAAGGCGCGAGGAAGAGTGACGAGAAGAAGGAGAAGGAGAAGGAGGAGGTGGAGGAGCAGGAGGAGGAGTGACGAGGAGGAAGAGGACGAGGACGAGGAGGAGGAACACTGCAAACGCAAGACTCCCCAACGATATTGCAATAAACCCTCCCTCCAAATCCCACCAGCCCTCTGGGCGTCGGTGGTTTAGGGCGTTTCCTCTTCCACCCCTCCCTCTTCCCCTTCGAGGAGGGGTTTACCCCTCCCCCTACCCCCTCCCCACTGACCTGGACAGGAGGGGCGGGGAGCGGTCAGAGCGTCCAAAACGGCCTCGGCGAGGAAGCCAAAATCATTGAGTTTACTATGGTTTGGGCCCCATTTTGGCCTTCTGAGGGGGCAACGCTAATTAACGCTCCCCTCTTCTTTGATCGATTTCCTCCACGATGGCCGCAAGATGCCCCCAGGATGCCCCAAGAGGCCGCATGATGGCCCCAAGATGGCCCCAAGAGGGCCCCCAAGAGGCCCCCAGGAGGCCCCCAAGCGACCCCCAAGAGGCCCCAAGAGACCCCCCAGAGGCACCCAAGGTGCTCCCAGAGGCCTCGGCGATAATGTCAAACCATTGTTTGCACTAAGGTTTTAGCCACATGTTGGCCTCTTGGGGGGGGGCACTGATTAAGATGACTCCAAGAGCGCCTCGGAGAGCCCAAAATGACCTCCAAGATGGCTCAAGAAATCCCAAGATGTCTCATACTGGCTTCCTCTGTGTGCTGTCCACTTCCCTGATCGAGGCAATCCCACCAGCCCTCTGGGCGTCGGTGGTTTAAGGCGTTTCCTCTTCCACCCCTCCCTCTTTCCCTTCGGGGAGGGGTTTACCCCTCCCCCTACCCCCTCCCCGTGGACCTGGACGGGGGGGGGCCGCGAGCGGTCAGAGCGTCCAAAACGGCCTCGGCGAGGAAGCCAAAATCATTGATTTTACTAAGATTTTGGCCCCATTTTGGCCTCCTGAGGGGGCAAAGATGGCCCCAAGAAGCGCCCAGGAGGCCCCCAAAGGCCCCAAGATGGCCCCAAGAGGCCCCAAGAGGCCCCCAGGAGGCCCCAAAGAGGATCCCGAACGGCCCACAGAGGCCCCCCCGAGGCACCCAAGACGCCGAAAAGCCCCTCAGGACGACCCTCTACTCGCCTGGGCGTCGTTTCTGGCCGGGCTGGTGGGGATACGCGAAGCGTCTAGAATTCTCTCTTCATAAACCCTACAAAGATTCATTTAACTGAAAGAAATGGCACCTTGGAATACAACCGTTAGAAAATCTTGAACTGAACCAAGACACGCTTCCTGGGACTTCAACGCCACAAATCACCGTTACCGTTGCATCTAGACGATCATGAATCTTGCAAACGAGCAATTCCTGGAACCGTGAATCAAGGTAACCGTTGCGCCGTGACAGCCCGACATCGTGCCAACACACCTTCTGTGGGACGTTTGCCATGCGAGTCTTTGAAACTGCTGTAAACTCTTAAAACGAATGTGCGTGGCGCTAAAGAGAGAGCCACATTCCGAAAAGGATTCGCCCTCCATTTGTCAAGCTCTTGAACATTTTGAAACGAATGTGCGCGGCGCGAAGGCCAAATAGGAGGAGGACCAATGTCAGCCCAAGACTTACCAACGATATTGTAATACACCTTCCCTCCACATTCCCTCTGCATGGCCCCATACAAAGATTCATTTTCAACCGAAGTTGCCCAGTTTGATAATAACCGTGTGAAGATCTTGAACTGAACCAGAACGCCATTCCTGGGACTGCAACGCCGTGAATCACCGTTACTTTTGCGTCTTGACGCTCCTGAACCGTGGCAGAACACTATGCCTGGAACGTCAACACCACGAATCACTGTAACTGATGCGCCATGACCGTACGACATCGTGCCAAAACGCCACTTCTGGCAGTTAGCCATGAGACTCTTAAAACGATTGCGTGCGGCGCAAAAGCGAGAGCCACATTTTGAAAAGGAAACACCCTCCATCAGTGAAGCTCTTCAATTCCCCAATGAATTTGTTGAACGCGGTGCTGTTGAAGTAGAAGCTAACTCCGGCTGGAGGAAAGGGGAGCAGAGACATCCTCAAATCATCTGGTGGGCCATTTCACCTGAGACATCCTCACAACTCTTGTTTCTGAATTGTCTTTGGCCGTTTCGCCTCAGACATCCTTTAAAATCTGTGCTCCAGGACGCTGCGCGTAAAGTGGCCCAGCACGTTTCGCCTGAGACATCCTCGAAACTCTAAGCCCCGAGATGCCGTGCGACAGGTGGTCTGGCGCGTTTCGCCTGAAATATCCTTCCATTTCTGAGTTCCGAGACGCCGCGCGCGAGGTGGTCTGGCGCGTTTCGCCTGAGACATCCTCACAACTCCGTGCTCCGAGCTGCCGCGCGCGAGGTGGTTCGGCGCGTTTCGCTTGAGACACCCTCGCGCCCCTCAGTTCCGAGATGCTGCGCGAGAGGTGGTCCATCTCGTCTCGCCTGAGACATCCTTGCAGTTCTGAGCTCTGAGAAAATGTGCGCAATGGTGTGTGTGTGTGTGTCTGTGTGTGTACGTGTGGCTAGTTTCGCTTGAGGTATCCTTGCAATTCGGAGCTCTGAGATGCTGCGGGCGAGATAGTCTGGCCCGTTTCGCCTCGGGGCTTCGGGAGGGAGGAAAAAGGACGGAGGAGAGGTCTGACCCAAACGAATCATGTGATTACACTCGTGTTTCCGAATTGTACTCTGGGAGGGGTATGAGCGCGACCGGAGCACCCCAAAAACTCTGAGCTCCCAGATGTCGCGCGAGAGGTGGTCCAGCACGTTTCGCCTGAGACATCCTCGCAACTCCACGCTCTTTGAAAATGTGCGCGTGGTGGTCCAATTTTTCCCAACCATCTTGTGGGGTTGGATCCTTGTTCCCAACCATCCTGTCCTCGTTTTGAAGAGACGGTTCCCGCGTTCTCCTTCCTCCTTCCTTCCAACCTCCTCCTCCCTTCTTTTTCTCCTACTCCTCCTCCTCCTCCTCCTCCTCCTCATCCTCCCGCTCCTCCCTCATTTGGTGGCCCCATAGGGAGTTCCACCAAAGGCTCCAGTGGGACCGCCCGCATGCGTCATCCACCACCCAGCACAGCATTTCGTGGCCCCATAGGGGGCCCCACTGAAGGCTCCAGTGGGGCCGCCCGCATGCGTCATCCACCACCCAATACAGCGCTTCGTGGCCCCATGGGGGGCCCCACCGAAGGCCCCAGTGTGACCGCCCGCATGCGTCATCCACCACCCAGCACAGCATTTCGTGGCCCCATAGAGAACTCTACCGAGGGCTCCACTGGGCGCCACCGAAGGCTCCAGTGGGGCCGCCCGCATGCGCCATCCATCACCCAGCACAGCGCTTCGTGGCCCCATAGGGGTCTCCACCGAAGGCCCCAGTGGGACCGCCCGCATGCGTCATCCACCACCCAGTACAGCGATTCGTGGCCCCACAGGGGGCTCCGCCGAAGGCCCCAGTGGGACCGCCCGCGTGCGTCATCCACCACCCAGCACAACATTTCGTGACCCCATAGGGAACTCCACCGAAGGCCCCAGTGGGACCGCCCGCGTGCGTCATCCACCACCCAGTACAGCGCTTCGTGGCCCCATAGGGGTCTCCACCGAAGGTTCCAGTGGGACCGCCCGCGTGCGTCATCCACCACCCAGTACAGCGCGCCGTGGCCCCATAAGGAGCTCCACCGAAGGCCCCACTGGGAACGCCCGCATGCGTCATCCACCACCCAGTACAGCACTTCGTGGCCCCGCAGGGCCTAGGAGCTCCACCGGAGGCTCCAGTGGGACCACCCTCATGCGTCCCACCACCCAGTACAGCGTTTCGTGTCCCCACAGGGAACTCCACCTAAGGTCTCCGTGGCGAAACTCGCATGGCGGCCCAGCGGCGGAGTTCGCATGGCGGCGACTTCCGGTTTTCGGATTTTTTTCGTCGTATTCCATGTGTTGAAGCCGCTTTCGGGCCGCGCATCCCGGGCGAGAACCAGCCTGCTCGCTCTCTATGCTCCGCGCAGCGGGCGACCCGCGCGCGTCGCTGGGACCCCTTCGGGGCGACCAGCGTGCTTCGCGGGGATTCTGTGCGGCGCCGCGCCCGCAGCCTTGGACGTGGGCGAGCACGGGCAAAGAACGAGAAAAAAACCGGAGGGAAGCGGGCGCGATCCTCGTGAGAGGCGCGCCGACATGGGCGTCGACATTTATGCACGTAGACTCACGCGCGCGCAGACTCATCCACAATCAGACTCGTTCGCTCTCACTCTCTCGCACTCAGACCTATCGTTTTTCGCTCGCGCTGTGTGCGCCACGCATGCCGGCACGCCCACGGCTCGCGTCCCCATAGGGAGCGCGGGCGAAGATGATATTCATAATTGCGGTATTCACAGCTGAATATGGTTGGGTCCTTCGCCAGGCTACTTTTGAAGAAACGGTCCCCGCGTTATCCTCCTTCCTTCTTCCTTCCTTCCTTCCTCCTCCTCCCTCCTCCGCCTCCTCCTCCTCCTCCTCCTCCTCCTCCTCTTCCTCCTCCTCTTCCACCTCCCGCTCCTGCCTCACTTCGTGGCCCCATAGGGACCCCCACCGAGGGCTCCAATGGGACCACCGGCATGCGTCATCCACCACTAGGGAGCTCCACCGAAGGCCCCAGTGGGACCGCCCGCGTGCGTCATCCACCACCCAGCACAGCACTTCGTGGCCCCATAGGGAACTCGACCGAAGGCTCCAGTGGGACCGCCCGCATGCGTCATCCACCACCCAGCACAACATTTCGTGGTCCCGCAGGGGGCTCCGCCGAAGGCCCAGTGGGACCGACCGCATGCGTCTTCCACCACCCAGTACAGCGCTTCGTGACCCCATAGGGAGCCCCACCGAAGGCCCCAGTGGGACCGCCCGCGTGCGTCATCCACGACCCAGTACAACACTTCGTGACCCCATGGGGAGCTCCACCGAACGCCCCAGCGGGACAGCCCGCATGCGTCATCCACCACCCAGTACAACGCCTCGTGGCCCCTCAGCTCCACCGAATGCCCCAGTGGGACCGCCCGCATGCGCCATCCACAACCCAGCACAGCGTTTCGTGGCCCCATAAGGGGGCCCCACCGAAGGCCTCAGTGGGACCGCCCGCGTGCGTCATCCACCACCCAATACAGCACTTCGTGGCCCCATCGGGAGCTCCACCGAAAGCCCCCCCTCAGTGGGACCGCCCGCATGCGTCATCCACCACCCAGTACAACCCTTCGTGGCCCCACGGTCCACCGAAGGCCCCAGTGGGACCGCCCGCATGCGTCATCCACCACCCAGTACAGCGTTTCGTGGCCCCATATGGGGTCTCCACCGAAGGTCCCAGCGGGACCGCCCGCATGCGTCATCCACCACCCAGTACAACGCCTCGTGACCCCATAAGGAGCTCAACCGAAGGCTCCAGTGGGACCGCCTGCGTGCGTCATCTACCACCAACCAGCGCAACGCTTCGTGGCCCCATCGGGAGCTCCACCGAAGGCCCCAGTGGGACAGCCCGCATGCGTCATCTACCACCCAGTACAACGCCTAGTGACTCCATAGGGAGCTCAACCGAAGGCTCCAGTGGGACCGCCTGCGTGCGTCATCCACCACCCAGTACAACCTTTCGTGGCCCCATCGGGAGCTCCACCGAAGGCCCACGTGGGACCGCCCGCAAGCGTCATCCACCACCCAGCACAGCGCCTCGTGGCCCCATAGGGAGCTCCACCGAAGGCCCCAATGGGACCGCCCGCGAGCGTCAGCCACCACTCAGTACAGCGCTTCGTGGCCCCATAGAGGGTTCCACCGAAGACCCCACTGGGACCGCCCGCGCGCGTCATCCACCATCCAACACAGCGTCATCCACCACCCAATACAGCGTTTCGTGTCCCCACAGGGAGCTCCACCGAAGGTCGCCGTGGCGGAATTCGCGTGGCGGCCCAGTGGCGTAGTTCGCATGGCGGCGACTTTCGATGTTCGGAAGTTTTCCGTCGCATTCTACTTGTTGAGGCCGCTTTCGGGCCGCGCATCCCGGGCGGGAGCCAGCCTGCTCGCTCTCTCTATGCTCCGCGCAGCGGGCGACCCGCGCGCGTCGCCGAGACCCCTTCGGGGCGACCAACGCGCGTCGCGGGGATTCCGTGCGGCGCCGCGCCCGCAACCTTGGACGTGGGCGCGCACGGGCAAAAAAAAGAGAAAAGAACCGGAAGGAAGCAGGCGCGATCCTCGTGAGAGGCGTGCCGACATGGGTGTCGACATTTATGCACGTAGACTCACGCGCGCGCAGACTCATCCACAATCAGACTCACTCGCTCTCAGTCTCTTGAACACAGACCCGTCGTCTTCGCTCGCGCTGTGTGCCCCGCCACGCATGTCGGCACGCCCCTCGCACGGTTCGTGGCCACATAGGGAGCGCGGGCGAAGATGATATTCATAATTGCGGTGTTCACAGCTGCATCTGGTTGGGCCCTTCGCCAGGCCAAATTGTCTAAAAAGATGCGCGCGACACTATCGCCACAACCGCATTCTGAAGACTACCCGCCCTCCGTCCGCAGAACTGTTGCAAATTTTGTAGGCGGATGCGCGCGGCGCTAAGGCGAGGGCTGCATTAAAAAAACGGTCCGCCCTCCATCTGTGAGGCCCTTGCAGATTCAGTCTCAAGCGAAACGCCCAGCCCGCCCTTTCGACCGGACTCGGGGTGCGACAGGGAGGAGTTTGTAATCAGGAAGAAGAGAAAGAGGAGGGAAAGGAGGAGGACGGGGACGAGGACGAGGAGGAGGAAGAGGAGTGACGACGATGGGTCCTGTCCGCCGTGTGCGACGCCTGGAAATGCACTGTCCCTGGCACACGAGCGGCCTCCAGGTATCCAGAAATTCGGCAGCCCTCCGAAAACATCTCGTGGTACGCGGCGCCCGCGTGCAAGTGGCGCTGGGCCACCTGCTGCTTCATGAAATCCGCGAGCCCCTCGGGGGGTC